CCCCAAAACCCCAAAACCCCAAAACCCCAAAACCCCACTACAAAGAAAGTGGTTGATAATACGAATTACTGGTCTAGTGTTATTGTGTTAAAAGTTGAATAAAATTGGATGCGGCTGGGTTTTAGGATTAAGACTTTGAAGCTGATTTTTTGAAAAATTTAGGTGGGGTCTTAGTGTTATTGGGTTTTTAATGCTTATTTGAAGGCCTGGTTTGAACATTGATGCAACTATTGTTAAGAAGGGAGTTTTACTATTTCTTATTTTGTTAGGAATATTTTAAGGTTGTGGCTTGGATAGCTAGTTCTCATATTTCTCATCAAGGATCCTTATTTTAATATGTTATTTGCTATTTGAATTGCTCTCTGTTTTTATTATAAAAAGGAAGAGAAATTTTTACAATATTATAGTCTAAAAGCATAGTGCTCATTTCATAAATTTGGATGCTTGAGATTCTTTAATAGTCTTTAAAAAGTTTTAGAAAATGATTATTTCAGCAAAAAATTATTACTTAAATCTAGAAAAAAGAGAGAACTCTACCTAAAGAACTAAATCTTACAATTTTCTTCCAAATTCTCAACAACATCAACTCCTAATTAACCCATCACAAACTCTAACCCCCTTTCCCCATCATCCCCCAAAATTCCCCTCAAAACCCACCAATTCCCCAACCCCCAATCTACCCAAACCTACACACCCACTCACCCACCTATCCTCCTCTCTCCCCCCAACCTCCAAAAGTACACCTACTTCTCTAAACCCCCAAAATCCTAAACTTAAATTTCCCACTCCAGTCTCCTTCTGACTCAAGAAGTTATGAAAATAGGTGACTTATAGTACGAAGAAGTCTGAAAGTTGTGCTTAAGGAGGTTTTGGGAGGAATTGGAAGAGAGGGTTACTGTGAAAGAAGGGGGAGAGGTTGGGGATGGGTGAGTAGTGGGGGATGAAGGGGGTGGGGATAGGAGATTTAGGGATTTTTGATTCATGAATTTGGGTTTTTTTGAAGGGGATTCATGGATGGGGGATTGGAAAAGGGGAATTTTTAGGGGTTTGAGGGGGTTTTGGGTGGTTAGAAGAGTTGGGACATGGGGAAGGTAGTAAAGAATGATAGGGAAAGAGTTGAGAAGTAAAATGAAGGATTATCTCTAGTATATTTAGGTACTGCTTAGTTTGAGGGAAAAATCTTTGATCAAAATGGAAATCTTAAGTTTGAGAAATTTTATTTGCAAATTAATTAGAAATGATAATATTAAGCTCCAAAAGTTACAAAATCCTTTTGGTCACAGTTAATATTGAGGATCTCCAGACCTTCAATAGGAACATTCGTTAAGCTTTGCTTTTTCTTCATTATAAGCTTTCTTGTCTCTCTAAGTTCTGCTGATTTTTTTAGCAAAAAGCTAATCTCACTTTTAATAGATACTCTTTTGGCTCATGCTTGATTTCCAATATCTTCAGAAATATTTCTGAAAGAGTGACTCTCTTTGGCTTTAAATGAGTTAGCAAATTTTTTATCACCACCAGTCTTTTCATAAAACCGAGATTTAGTACCACAAAAGGGTAACGCTTGAACTTCATCGTCTGAGATTCCCTTCTGCTGATTAGAAATTTTAAAAGAAGACATCTTCATGTTGATATTAATCCTCTCACTGATCTTAATTTTCTTTGTGATTGCACCCTCACTAAGGAAGTTTTCAGATAAGTTTTCTTCAAAAATTAAGGAGTGATTCTTTGTCATTTATAATAAATATTATTAAAGCTCGCTTCAGTTATTTATCTAGACTTGGGGTTTTGGGGTTTTGGGGTTTTGGGGTTTTGGGGTTTTGGGG